CAGACCGGTCTAGGCTAAGCCTGGCTTTCTGCGGAAGCCGACAAGGGACACTTACGTACAGCAGAGCAAAAGAGGCCATCCATGTTTTTTTTTCCCCGTGTTTTTGGTGGTGGTGGTGGGGGGGTTCTTTGTATCTCCATAGGAAAACCTTTATTTTCGTTATGTTTTCATCAGAAACCCGCTTTTTGAAGCCATGCAAGCTTGCTTCAAAGCGTGTGAGTGGTTTTGAATCCTATCATGCGAGCATTCTGTTTGCCAATGCAAGGGGAGCCTCCCCCCCAACCAGCGCTTTGTTGAACCGTGCAAGTCTGCTTCAACACAGTTTAATTGAGACCCATGATGCGAGCATTGTGTTTCTGGTGGCCTCAGAAAGTTGTCCTTGAAGAAGGTCCGCGTGAGCAACACGTTTTTGCGCGCCTTTGGGTTTGCGCTGGTGTCGGCAGGTATCTTTCCCCCCCCGCGATGGCTTGCGGCTTTTACTCACAGGCTGTGAGGATCTTTGAGGAACATGCACCACATCCCAGGCACGTTCTTCGGCCCGCGGCACCGAAGACTGGGGGGGACAAAGGGGACTTCGTACACACCATCGATTTTTTGGACACGTTCTGCGAACACACCTGGCAAAATTTGAAAGGACTTGTTGTTATGCTTCATATGCTTCTTGGAGGTGGTACAAAAAAAGGCCAGGATGACAGCGCGGAGAAGGCGAGTGCACAGCAAAATACCGAAGCGGCGTGGCCTTTGTTGCAGGGAAGGTCCTTGCTGCAGACCGTGTCAAACTGAACAACCAAGTTCATAGCCTCCGACATGAGCAGATGTGCTGGGTAGCATGCATGCAAGATTCCAGAACGCCGTGTTCACCGTGAAATTGTGTTGGTTTCGATTGTATGGGGACGCGCGACATGCACTTGGCCGTGCACGAAACATGCATAGACTCCAGTCAGTTCATAGTCAGTTCATAGTGCAGCAGAGTGCAGAGACACGGCCACATCAGGCGTTGGCTTTCGGCCTCGCCAGCAGCGGCGGCACAGTTGTGTCCAAACCTCGAACGGGCGTTCTCACCTTCCACAGAACGCTCTGGACATGTCGATTTGCTATTTGCCCAGGCAGTCAATTCTTTTCCGTCGATGAGGACATCCGACACATGTCACGCGATGAAAAGGCTGCCGCATGCAAGGACCCATGACCTGCTTGACAGGACAAGCCAAGGACACTGTCTTGACCTTTGAGCGTCCTCTGCGACCAAGCAAATGCTCCTGGCTTTTCATGGTTTCAGGCTGCATCATCTGTGTGGCCTTGCCCAGAGCCTCTCACCATGCGCTGCCCAGGCATGAGCATGAGGGCAGGAGCAGACTGCTTTTGTCTGGTTGCAAACGCAGGCGGTAGCATCTTCCTTACACTGGCCAAGCTTGGAGACACTCTCCATGGAAACTTTTCAGCATGCTAAGTGGTGGCTCAATTTCAGAACGGATCTGCAACTTTAGCTGCTGAGTTGTTGCAATCGAGGACATGGGAAACATTGCTTGGTCGCGGCTTTTGCAGGTTGGTAGTCCCTCAGATTTCAGCTGAGCTGATGTTCTTTCAGCCAGGCATTGTGGGAGCAAGGCCAGCGCACAGAGCACACGGGTGATCCATTTGTACAGTGGTGGCCTCAACCGCTAACTTGCCGCAGTTACGTTGCAGTGCAGTTCATGCAGGCTTCGCGGCCTGCGATCACTTGCTGTTTCCTTTCCAGCAGAGCCCTGGCAGAAAAACGGCTGCCTAAGTCCATTCAGCGCAACGAATTTGTTCGAAGCAGTCAATGCCCCACAGTGACAGTGCAGAAGCGGCAAATGTTTCGGGAAAAAAGTGTTTAGAGTTTTTTTTGACGGACTGGGGGTGGTCGTTTTGGTCTCCTCAATGAGGAGCGTTCCGTCTCTTCCTTGCAGCAGCCCAGCTCCGAGCTGCTGCACCGGCAAGGGATTTCTTTAGGGCTTTCGCGGGGGGGGGGAGGGCTTCCTCTCTCTCACAGGTGGCAAAACTACGTCTCGCCGCAGCTGTCGCGGCAGGGACATGCAGGGACAGGGCCAGGCCGCCAGGGAAAGGGCCTGGAGCCGTGAAGTTGCGGAGGCTGGGGGCCTTGTTGGAGTTCTCCCAGTTGCAGGACGCCGCGACGCCCACATGACAGTGGGGTTTGGTGTTTCAGGGCCTCTCAGAATAAACAGGGACGCGTCGGCTGGAGTCTGGAGGAGCTGGTGCTTGTTGATCTCCGATCCACGGAGGCAAAACACAGAGCCCACACTGCAAGCACAGAGAGACACAGGCGTCCCTGAGACTCACAGGTCTTGACAGCAGCTCTATCAGGGTCCTGTGGAAAGACGCTGTGTGGCTCACAGCATGATGTCGCTTTCATGGAAGATCTGCGGTTTGAAAATGCAAGCTGTGGGCGCATGTGGGCGCTGAGGCGAGTTTGCAGGGCGTCTTTCATAGGCGAGGGACCTGGAATCTTGGCCACGGGAAAGCTTCGGCCGAGAGCAGCCAGAAGTCCGGTCCAAGGTCCAGAGAGCAGAAAACAACCACTCACTCTGCCTCCGGGCGGATTGCCTTCCCTTGAGTGCGCCCGCACTCACACTGCGTGTTGGTTTCTCGAAGATGCCAGAGAACAGGTGCCTCATGCTCCGTTACCGTGACTTCCGTGAGCAAAGAGCCGGGCACTTTCTGCTTTAGAGCCGCCTCTGCCTCTTCATGTCATGTGGGTGCAGAGGCATCGCGGCAGGAGAGGATGCAGGCGGGTCCGCGGCAGCCATGGGCGCGCCCGCTCTCTTGACTTCGAAGGTGATGGCCGGGCCGTTACTCTCTTGTCTGAAAAGCCTACATCAGCCCATGAAGCTGAAGGCCACGCTCTAGGCCTCTAGGCCCAGGCCTGTCATGGCCTCTCTCAGCCACGTTTCGAAGCGGGAGGTTCTTGCGCTGAGTGGCATCCGAGTCGATGGAAGCTCCGCGGACCTTCGAGCCCTAGGTTTTTAAGGATTGGGTTTCGTCTTATCTGCTATGCTCAGATTTTGTTGGCCTGTGTCTGGCTTCTGTTTTGTTGCTGCTTGTTATTTCTGTTTGTGCTTTGGCTTTGCCATGCTTTTCCGCTTTCGGATTCTCTGCTTTTCCGCTTCTCTGCTTGTCCGCTGCGCTTTTCTGTTGCTGTTCTTTCTGCCTTCGGTCTGTATTTTCTCGTCGTTTTCTGCTTGTTCTCGCTTTTCTGCTTTTCTACTTCTTTGCTTTTCCGCTTGTTGCATCGCCAGATGAGGGGCGTGCTTAAGATATGTGCTCATCCTGGATTGCCACATGAACTTTTCAGATATGTGATGACTGTTTCAGTTCAAGATATGTGATGAGAGTCAAATGAGGGTGGCGTGTTTAAGAATTGTGATCAGTCGGGATCGCCCCATGAGCGGGCGTGTTTAATATTTAAGATGTATATGTGTGATGAATAGGTCTCGGCCTGAGCTCAGCTTGCTGTTCCTCCCGTTAAGTTTCACAGCCTGCGATGCTCAATCTCACAGCCATGCGTTTCTCTGCCCCTCCACGTGCATGGGAGCCCGGGTGCGCCGAGCTGCTCGTTCCAGGGCATGCCTTTCTGCGACGAAGCAGAGAAGAGCCGGCGCATGTCGACAACCTTTGATTTGGGATGTCAAGGGATGTTGTACAGTTTTCCTCCAGACGGGAGATCTTCGGCCTCGTTTCTCTCTGCTCCCGACCATTTCGGGGCATGGGTGCGTTCCACAAGCGCAGGTGTTCGGGATGCGCGCAAGCATGAAGCAGTTTTGGCACACTACTTGCAACTGACTGGAGCTGGACACTGCATGTCGTTTGTGGCAGCGCTGGACTCGGCACAGCAGGCATGGCGGTATGTGGAGTTGTTCTGACTTCGGTGAGTAGAAGCCCTTCACAGGCCACGTTGTTTAGTCGTGGCCCGTGTATGTCTACGCAGTTTTGCTTGTCCTCACAATGGGAGCGGCTTGTTGACGGATATGAGGATCTCCTGCCAACGCGCAAGATATCTCCGTGCCAACTTCATGTTTATCGTTATTCTCACAGGATGGTGGATGGAGATCGTATAGGGCCGCCCAAAAATATGTGATGAGTCGGGCTCGCCAAATGAGGGTGCTTTGAAGATGTGTGATGAATCGGCATCTTAATGAGAGGGCATGTTTAAGATATGTGATGAGGCTGGATCGGCTAATCAGGGGGCATTTGTAAGATACTGTATGTGATGAATCGGGGTATGGAACCTTGCCCTAGACCCTCCGGTTCCGTGCTGAGAAATGCGAACACATTAGTTTTTGGGTATTTTCCGTGCCCTAGACCCTCCCGTTTCGTGCCGTGTATTGCGAACGCATTGGTTTTTGCGTACGACACCCTACCCTAGACCCTCCGGCTCCGCGGCGTGAAGTGCAGATGTGTCGGGTCTTTGGGTACCGAACAGGACCCTGTGTGCGCCTTAGACGGCCGTTTTGCCGTATGAGCCTGAGACGTCTAACCGTGTGCACTGTAAACCCGCCTACACGCAAAGGAAGATCCACATCGTTTCCCCCAAGTACGGCTTCGATTCTAGGTTTTCCACAGGCAAGGGTGGTCCATATCTTGTACTTACAATGAGTCACCGCTGCAGCGCATGGAGCCCTCTGTAACTGACGAAAAGTTTGTACATTTTGCACTGCATCCCAGCAGGAGATGCGTGCATTGAGCATCATGTGTAAATGATGAGATGCGGTTACCTGGCTTGCACCATGGTCTGTAAGTAACAGGAGGCGGGGAGGTGGCAACATGTCCAAACGGAAATAGTTGCAGCTACTCTGGGAAACAGAAAACGAAAAAATCATACAACAAAACAAAAACATCCTAAATTGATTCTCGTACCTTTTTCTGATGTCAACGCGTGGCAGAAGGAGACTGCAGCATTGCTGGAGGGCCTTCAGGCCAGCTGTGTAATGCTTTCTGCTGTGCATTGGACTGGTTTTGCACCTCGAGCTAGGCGCTGCGTGGGCTCGTGACCGTGGCTCTCCGCTTCTCTGCGCCACTGCAGCATGACATCAGAGCTGGAATTCAAGTGACTTGATAGTAGAAGCCGCACCTTCTCAGTCAGGTGCCCGCAACTTTCTGCAGTCTTCTGCCACTGTTGAGCACTCAGTGGGCAATCTGTCAACAGCCTGTGGCAATCAACCTCAATGACCATGCCTGTCCTGCGTGCTGCCGCATGTGGTTGGGTCGGATCAGAGTCAAGTGGAATGGGCTCCTTCCTTTTTGAGGCCTTTTGGCCGGGACTGTCGTGCGAGTCATTGCTCATGGCGGCCAGATCCGAAACTGCTGAACTCGAAGCTTTTGAATTGGGGGGGGGGGGGTGTGCAATGTTGTAAAGTTCAAAACACGACGCATCCCAAGCCACTGTGACACCAAATTATTTGCTGTGGAATTACTGCCTGCTCAGCATCGCGACTTGAGATTTGCCCATACGGCGTTGACCAACACTGCCGGGCGTCTCTGTGAAAGACCTCCAGGAAGCGCGGCCAACAGTTTTTTTGTACATTAAGCCCTGCTGACGAATGTGACCAGCGGCAAGTACAGTTAGGTTAGGTAGTTTGGCAGAAGTAATCCTTGACAAACACATGCAACTGAGCTGCAAGCTTCGAGGTCTTCTCTGCTGAAGCTACGCCAGTGCTGGCCGCTGGCTGCCTTCCCAGATGTCTTGCCGTGTAAGCTGATACCATGTTAGGTGGCCACCAGACTGACGGCAAACCGGGAGTCAAGTCCCGCTTTGCCTGTGGAAGACACGAGATGGCACGAGCAGAGAAACCACAGGAAGATAGGAAGGAGCCTTCGAAGAACGCACCGCCGACAGATACTTGTAGACGACAGCAGCAAGGTGGGGCACTTCGTGGTCGTCGATCAGTCTCTGCACGGTTTCGATTACTGGCCGTGCGAGAGGCCTGACAAGCTTGCTTGTTTATGCCTGCTTCACCCGACTTTTTGGCGAGCGGATGGCAGGATGGATTTCCGACAACTTTATCCAGAAGGTGCTGGCTCGTCTTCTCTTAGCCGCTGTTTACATGCCGTTGATGAGCGAGGTTCGCCAGACGGACGCCGGGTCTTCAACACGGAGTGGCTCTGACTTGTCATTGCAGTCCGCAGCTTCATACTGCCTTCACTTTGGATGCCAGGTTTCGAAACGTCTTGCAGCAATACAAGCTGACTCCAGAAGAAGTTTGGAGCAGGTGCCGTTTGACATCTCCGACTGCTTCCGTGTTTGTGTGAGAATCTAATGACCGGATACGACGGCCGCTAGTACGGAGACATCGTGAAGGGATGGGCACCGGGTGCAGATCCCAGCTTAAACTCGTGGCTTAGTTCACAGCTGATCGCCAATGGGCTGCAGCTGCTCACAAAAGCGGTAGCTGTGAACTAGGTCCTCATTAGCAGCACTGCTACCTCTAATTTCAACAAGCAAGGCGTACTGTTCTTCCAGTAATTTCGAGTATCTAGTTGCAGCCAGCTGCACCTTGGTCCGTTGCTGGCTTGGTCTGTGTCAGCCTCGCTTCATCGGTTGGTCTTGTGGCCGCCTTCCCCGACGGAGATTGATACACGACTCTCACGGCCCGATCTTGAGATCGTGTTTCATGATCCCTTTGGGAGGTTGACCAGAAACCATGGACAACTCCTGGGAAGTTGTGGCAATTTCCCGAAAAAGTGCTGGTTCGTACACGCCCCGACCAACGCACACTTGTGTGTTTGTCCGGGTGGCGGTCTTTCTCGCTTGCTGTCGTGGTTGTGTGTGCAGGAAATCATGGCGCATCACCTTCTTTGGTACGCATCCGGCTTGACCAGCGAATTCTGCAACGTCGCCAGGATGGATCTACGGCAGCGATCCTTTTGGGAACAGGCTTGGACCTTTCGCTGCCTTGTGCTCGTTTTCATTTTGTTGCTTGCTTTGCTGTGCTTCGGCCTCCAGGTGTCGCGCAAGCTGCCGACGATGCCTCACAGTGAGGCACAATGTTTGATTTGTTGCCGGATACAAGAGACTGTCTCATGCTTTGCCCAGATGACCTTGCGCGTGGCTCATCTCTTCCCCAGCACATACGACGAGCGCACACACAAGCTGTGCTGAGACGCTGCCATCTGCTAGTGCACCTTCCTGTTGACAGTGCCAAATACGGGCTTTTGTGAATGGGACATGTAAACAGATTGTTTAAGTTCACCAGCCTTCCTGGCCCGTGCCAGAAGGTCTGATGCCATTATCTGCGATCTCTCTCAACTTATCTCCAGTTGTCGTTGCATCGCCGCGGGAAAGAGCGCCAAAACAGTGGGTTTGATAAATGCACTATCGGATGAGGACAGTTACATACAGTTACTGGTTTCAACATGTTCACTATTGTCACTATTGCTTGTTTCTGACTGATAGGTGGCTCGTTGACTCACTTGCACCTGCGTCAGACTCGTCACGGCCTACATCTGCAAACACCGCGAAGATTTCGTGTCACTATTTTGCGGACGTAATTTGGATCATGGCATAATTAGATTTCTGTGATCGAGCTTCAAGCAGAAGATGAAGGCCATAAAAGAGTCAGGGAGCGGGAGGCCTCCAAAAGTTTGTGCGCGGACCCCACACCTAGAAGTAAAGGCACGAAGATCCGGGAGCAGTGGCAAAGCTTGCATGCTTTGGCACGGAACCATCAGAAGGTAAGAAAGGTCGTCGGACGGAGTTCACATCAACATCTCTGGACCTGAAACCTCCGTCCAAATGTATGGACATGGCAGTGAAGTGAAATACAGGAGTCGGACGAGCTGGAGCGAGGTGGCCGCTAGTTGTAGCGAGTGAAGTATGCAGCCGCGTATCAGAGCACTTACTCTGCTCAGCTACGACTTAGTTCCACTTAATGTCGTGCCCAGGTTTGGGGTTGTGCCAGATACAACCGACAGATACTTCACCGGTTGTCCACAGGTTTTTCGACTTGCTGGCAACTTTAGGTACCGGTGCAGATGTGTAGCGGTTCATCTCTCGGGAGTCACATGCGTTGGCGTTCACATGCACACGAGCAAAGGCCCACAAGTCTTAGCTCTTAGCAGCATGGCAACAGTGCATGCTCCTTCGCCGGCATATCATTGATTTGAGAGCTCCATGTGGTCATTGACCAAGAACTGTGTATAACTGTGTGCTTAATAGCACTTCCACACCCTGCACCGTCCTCTTCACTGAGTGGGCTAATTGAGGTTGCATGACCTGTCTCACTTGTTGTCGAAGGGCCGTGTCAAAGCCCAGTCTAAGTATTAGTCACATCAGAGACCTTGCGCAAGTTCTTATGTCGTGGAAATATGATCTCGCCACGCATCATGTTTCCCTTCCTGACCATGACACACGGTTGTTTGAGCACAACGAAGATACTGGCGCAGGTCAAGATCGCGAGGTATGTCTTTGCTGGACAAGTGGCGCAGGGCACCGGCTCCAAATCGTTTTTCGAAAACTGTGGTAGGTCAATGGGGGGACCAAGCTATTGAACGAAGCGCCGCCTGTTTTGTTCACGTTTTGTTCGTTTTGCCACCCGGATTGCCGAGCTTGTCTTCAACACTTACCGAAAATTAGCCTGCATTGACTGAGGAGGTAGCTCTGCCGAACTCCGTAAAAACAATGGCCACGGGGAGTTGCAGAGTCAATTCACACTGCTTGACGACGTTGTCTACCTGCAGCTGAACCACAAGCGCGAATCATCAGATGGCTATGTGCTAGATGTTGTACATGTCGGCCCATCCTACTGTCGGTGCTGGTGGGTTGGTACCAGTAGATTCTATGTATAAGTGCCTACATACCATCATCGGCCGTTTGTCCGCTTTGTTGTCAACGCTGGCTTCGGCAACAACACTGCCCCCTGTTTTGCCGAGGCCAGCATCCTGTCTGCTCGAATGCTCGGCCTTGTTGCGTAGCGAATGCTGAAGAAGGAGCAACCGGCGGATTATAGCCCGCAGTGTGCAGTGTGGCACCCGCCTCGCAAAGCTTGTAGAAGCGTTAGCTAATGCCTTCACTGACCCATGCCGGCCCACTTCGCCGCCACTTCCTGCACAGCCGCTCCGGCATCTGCAGTTCTCCTGGGGCCGGGTGGATAGACGCCCGACATCCACTTGGTTTCCATACGTATTGTTTGATTGTAGGTCTGTGCCACTCCGACATACGACCTTGTCAGTGGCGAAGCAACGGGCATCTCGCCTTTGCTGCCCTTTGCATGCCTTTGGTAAGCGCGGTGGAGCACCGGCGAGCGCTCGATGCGCTGTGAGCAGGTTGCGTTCTTCTCCCTCCCTCGCACCCTTAACGGGGCAGTGATGGCAGTGCGAGAGCTTGAAGGACAGCTTTTAGGAAATGGGCAACATAGCTAAATGAGACAGCTCCGCGCAACTCTGCTGCTGAGAGGTGTGCAGGCTCGGCAGGACAAGGCTGCCACGGTTGCGCCTGTGGTCCGCATCGGAGAGTGTGGGCAGTGCTTTGGCGATTGCTTGCCAAGCCTCGCTGCGGTGCACTTGCACGTGGGCTTTGCTGTGTCACACAGCAGCCCTTGCCGATGGTCGGCCATGCTGGGGGGCGGGCGTCGCTTCTGCCAGTAGCATTTGCCACTGCCCCGTCTCAAGATCATTATGCGTTGCAGGAGTTTTGTCCTCCCCCGCCAGCCTTGTTGCCTGCGGCAGTGCGAGAAGCGCGTGCGGCGCCGGCACAAACACACGGCGCGCATTTCTTGGCATGGCCCCCCGCAACGCCGCGAGCGCGTATGCTGCTAAACCTTCCTGAGAGCCTATGCATGCCTGTGCTGAACCCCAATGGGCGCAGCCGTGACCAACCTGTCTCAAAGTTACTGGACGCCGCGCAAGGTTGGCACGCCGGCGGTGGAGTCCGTTGTCCGTTGGCCGTGCTGCGAGCTATCAGTTAGCAGGAAGTTGGGCCTGAGCGCTGTGCACACACGCAGCAACAAGCATGGCGCCTGCAGATCTTCAACTGCAGGATGGCTTGGAGATGCGTGGAGGAACCGTTCATGAGCGATGCGCTTGCCGGCGAGCTGGCACAGGACGTTGTGTGATCCGTGCAGAAGGGGGCGTGCCGTGCCCAACACGGATATGGATGCACCTTGTTGCGCGCATCCAGCCGTTTGTTTGAGATTTTGGGTGGAGTGCGTCAAACATGTGTGCTCAGTCCTCGCCTATTTTGTGCAGCGGTGCAACTGGCAATGGACAGATGGAGACGTAGTGAGTCGACGCGGCGGGCATTGACTCATACGACAACTTGCCGAAGCTTTTCCGCATTCGCTTTGCTGCTGACATATGTGTTTCAATACATGGTCGCGAAATGCAGCGTGTATATTAGACGAGCTCGTCCCATGCAAAATTTACCGGAAACCGTGGCAGCATTTGCTTAAACAACTGGTGTACAAGCTGTGACTTACTCCCGAGCTTCGCCTCGGCCTCAATGTTCAGGACGGGTTCTTTGACACCGTCTCCTCTACATGTTCATGTTGGAGCCGTTCGTTGTGCCAACCAGGCTAGCAATGACTGGTTTGTGCGTGCCGATCTCCGGCAACAAACCGTGGATAGATGAGCTGGAAGAGGAACCTGGCCTTTGCCGTGCTTTCGACCGGGATGTTGGTGATTGACCTGTCTTGCAGGAGAGGAAGAGTACCTGAAGCGCCATTGTCAGCTCAGTGGTAGTGGTCGCGCTCAGGATTGGGCAAATCGCCTGCGCCGCAGGAGTCGTCCTGGAACGTGTCAACCTTTGTAAACAATCCGACTCCGATGCTGCAGCCGGGTCGGGCTCATTCTCAATTCAATAAAACCAAGCATCACCGCGGAAGCTCAGGCTGCACCACAGTTGGCGACACCTGGCGGGTTGACTGTTTGAGATCTTTTTGGGTGAGGTGGCGCATGGTTGGTTGGGATGCTGGGTGTTTGCCGAAAGGTCTGGTAACGCAGCGGCCGGCGTAAATTTTCACTTTCAATTTGGCTCCCGTGTTTTTCATGCAAACGTATCGTCATATCTTGTGTGAAAGGAATGTTTCCGTTCTCGACCGGTTAACATGGTTCGATCAAACTATGTCCCCGATCGCCTGCTTTGCAAATGGGCACTTACATCGATTTGATGTTCATGTCCGCAAACATATGCCGCCAGATGTCCGGTGGGACGAGTGTGCGGGTTTTTGCTTTGTGGGCGAGGCTGAATCGACCCACATGGTCAGGTGCCGCGAAGAAGTAGGCATCATCGCGGTATGCCCCCCATATACATGCATGCCATACCCGGAGCTGCTGGTCCCAGGGAACTTTATTCGCGATGCTGATAAGCCCGCTCTGAATGCGCTTGTGTTAGTGCACTAGGCCTGAATTTGGGGCGGATCCTCAATGTCTCGGTTAGCCTGCGTTTGCCTCAGCCCTGCAACGCTATGGCTGTGGACTGTGACCGGATTAGGTTCGTCGGTGAACCGAGCTTCGATCCTCGTCTTTATCTCGACAAGTACTCCAGGAGGAATGTACGAGCAGCCTTCGTCGTTTAGTGTCCCGATCCCTTAGGTGACACGAGCCCAGGTGCGCACCGCCCCTGGTAAGCGGATCGGGCTCTTGAAAGCTTTGCAGGCTTGCGGCAGGTTGAAGCGGGTGGAGGCGGCCAGCCTCAAGACTCCGTATCGGACCGGACGCTTCAGTGTTGCAAAGGACGAAGCTAGGGACAGGTTGGTGTTGGACGCTAGGGTGCCCTACGAGCCCAACGTGGCCGAAGGCGGGCAAAAGCGCCACGAGCGGCTCGAGTCTAGGGGTGGGTTGTTGTTTTCTTTGCCATGGATGGTGCTGCATTAACGTAATTTTCGGCATGCTTGACCGTTCACTCACGGAATACATGGTTTCTTGAAGACTTTTTCACGGAGCACATTTTCTCGTGGGGAAGCCGAATTTCGGCCCCCTCCTGGAGGCCCCGAAAGCACCAACTGTGTAGTACTTCATGCCAGG